TTCTCAAGTGCATCTACATAAAGAATTTTGGGCTTTTAAAGCTACACTAATTGATATAGAGGTTGGCTGGTTTATTAAATGTTACATTCTATGCTACTGACATCTAAAAGTAGCAATCAATTAGGGGAGTGCGCTTTACAGCTCCACTGTTTGGTAAATTACTTTCCACTTGGACACAAAAGCTCTTAGTCAATCGGTCATTCTTGGGTTTTTTTTGAAACACATACCCATCAAGATGCTGGCGTCACTAGTTTCCTGAATCCGTTATCTTTGCCTTAAAAACACCTCCTACTTTATCCCCGACAGTTTAATTGACTGAAAACGGTTAATTTAAGTTTTGCTATTTTCTCCTTATTAAAGAATTTGATAGCTTCCTGTTTATTACCCAGCCATTTAACAGCTGGTCGCACATTAAAACTAGACAATCAAAAACTCGAAAGTCATATTAAAAGTACAGCTTATGTTTCTATTTAATGGGAGTCGTTGAACGCACCTATCCAACTAAACTTGCTAATCCCTTGGAACTATTCACCAATTTATAAAGTTCTTAAATGCGTTTTTATCTTCGGCTTTGGTGCCTTTCTTAGTGGGGAATACGAGGGAATACTTTGGATATTAATTAGAGGTATAAAGGGGGGTTGGTATTTCCTCCATTTTCTGGCCCAAAATTGAATTATTTGGATTATTCAAACTCCCGCCAACACGATAAAAGTCTATGGCCATGTCTACCACTCTCCGTGCCTCTTCATTTCTTCAGAGAACATGGACTTTGCAAAGCTCTCCTACACCCAGGCGCATAAAATCGAGGTCGACAGACAGGTGCGCATTCTGGAGTTAGAGGCTCAACTGGCCGCGGGGAGACAACGACTCGCTGAAATTAGACGCTTCAATTATTCAAATGCCGCCGAATTTGAGCAGGTATAGACCACTTCGCCAGCTTTACCCTAACAGCACTTAATACGGCTGAGTCCAAAGCAGGGCAACGATGGCTTCCATTTAGCACGCATAAAACCAACGCAAGTGCCAGGAAAACTAGATACACCCCCAGACGTCTGGGGAGTGCAGCTTTGCCCCACGGCATAGTGAATTGTAGTTCAGTAAAGTGTAACCCAAACCCAAGGAAATGGGATTCCCTACTTTAATTACTACTAATTGAAGCCATTTTTTTCCCATTTAGAAATCGTAAAGTCGGGTCGGGACAAGTTTCTAAACAACTATGATCTGTTTGTAACAAGACCACTTCCTATTTCCACTTCTGAAAGGCGTTATTTTAACAATGATTAAAGGAACTTCAAACTACACGGACTTTTTTCCACTAAAATAAAGCGGGTAAAAAGAATATTTATGGACAAATGGACAATGGTAAAGTCGCAAAGACAGGAGGGAAGCGGAATAAAAAACCGAACTGAGGGTGAAGGAAGGTAGTTAATCGCGCCGTTCACGTTTTCGATACGTCGTATCTCGATTTGATGTGGTCGAGGAGTCGCCAGGTCTCTTGTCCGCCTTCTTAGCCTCCAACAAGAAGGTACTGACGTTAAATGGATCTTCTCCACCCCTCTCAAACTGCACAGGACCTTCGAGATGGCGGCTCCTATCAGCTCCCGCAAATCCACGATCCGGTACGAATTGTCTCTGCTTGCCAGCAGCCTCCAGATCGTTGCCGTATGTGTCAGTATCAGTTTGACGAGGACGATAGATATGAGTACCGAAATTGGACTCCTGACGCCAGGGCTTGTCGTAGATGTTGTAAAGATCATCCTCACCTAGCGTATTCCAATTAGCATCAAAAAAGAGGAATTACCTCCTGCAAAACCAGAATCCATGCCACGTGACTGGTTGAACAGACGCTGGTCAAACATGGACTCAGAGTTTGCATTGAGCCGTGGATTCGGCATCCCCAGAGCAATCTGTTCACTGATATCACGGTCTTTGTCCCGCTGAGTTCGTACCTTGCCCTCTGCACCAGCTCGACTGAGATTGCGATCATGGGCACGATCACGCGCACGCTCACGACGGATCTGATCCCTGCTCGCCACTTCGGATTCATCATCTGCGTTCGATCCGCGTCGCAAACCAGCACGGGCGGCACGCGCCTCCATAGCAATTTTCTGGAGTTGCTCCTCCTTGCGTTCACGCACTTTAGAGGCAACTTTTCGCTCGATTTGTGAACGCAATTCGACGGCTTCTCTAGCTTTGCGATCCGCGGTGTAAAGAGCTTCCGCCAGTTTGGCGAAATTCTCGTTGATGTGAGTGGTTTGGAGACCACGACCGTCAGCGGCGACACGTTTATCCAGTGGGATGGTGTAACCTCTGGGATTCTTCCAGTTGGAAATGCATGGTGGTATCTTCCACTCCGCTTGTTCCTTTGCGGTCACCTTTCGTGACGGTGAATGCATCAGTGGTGGAGGTGGTGACGGTGGTCCTCGAGGAATTTTTTGATTTATTCTAAAGATGCTTGTCACAGAAAATAAAGAACGGGCCTACTTAAATCTAGGGGGTTCCATTGGATCACGTTGTGCCTCCACCATACGTACAAGACGTTGCTGGGCGCCACTATTGAAAGCTGGACCTTGTTGAGCTGGTGTGTAGCTAATGTACTCAGCGGGGCCTGTTCTTTCAGCTTTTCTGACTGGTAAAGAGGCCGCAACCTTCTGTTCAACAAGGGCTTCAAGAGCCTTTCGCGTTTTTTCTGTCGTCTAAAAACATGGAGAATAAGTAAAAAATGTTTACCTCTTCGACGGTTTCCTTAGAGGGCTTCTGCAGCTCCTCATCATCTTCATCAATCGGCTTGGGGAGAAGGTCGGTGAATTTCGAATAAATAATCCGGTCTTTGGCGTGCCCTCCTCGCACCAATTCGTCATACCGAACTTTACCATCTTTGTCTGTTTTCATCACAAGAGCATTAGATGAACTCTTCTGTCGCCCCATTCCAAGAGGATACTGAGGCATATGTATTTCTGGAAAAGCACCTCCATCACCGAAGTCGTCTTCATTACGCGGGAACCAATGTTTTCGATGGCCGTATGGAGGTAAACTCGACTTATGCACAATAACATGTGATGGATTAGCAATCAGGTCTGTTTGCGCATCAATAATACGCTGCGTAGGCGCAGGTAGTTGACTAAGGAAAAGATGAGCACAGAAAACCCCACATTACCTTAGAAGAGACATTGTACAAACGCAGTTTGAAACCTTTGGCCAAAGGTCAAACAAGTCAAACAAACATTAGCGGTGTTACCTAATGCTTCATAACTAGAAAAGTTTCTTTATCATTTCTTTTACAAAAAGCAATAAAACACTTAAAAAGCATTCAAATAATAATATTTGAAAACGTTTAAAACCAGTTAGAGCGAATCCATAGGAGTAAATCAGACTCATAAAAGAAAATAACTTATGTAAACTTAGAAATAGTAAGGCATTCTCATCGAACCACTTTTCTAATTCGCTTCTATGATTTTAACATTTCCATCTTAAATTAGGAGAGAGCATAATGTACAAAAAATGTATAAATAAGATAAAAAGCCTTTATGGAATATGTGTATTTAGCAAACAGGAGGGCCTGGTGACCAATGCCATGGGCCATTCCAACTACTAACAAGATAAAAACGATAGCCTAAAGACCCCAATAACTTAATTGAGAAATAAACGACTGACGATGAGGAACTTAGCCATACTTTGTTAAAAAGTGCATTTATAGCAATTTTAAACAATTACAAAACGTTTTTTGGTAAATTTTTTTTATTTTTTAGTTTATTTGCGAGTACATTTGATCTGTTTAATTACCAACTTCAAATGAGCTACCTAGTTTAAACTCTCAAATCTGCCGGACTTTTTGCCGCGAAAATTACAAATAGATCACACCACTGGTTTTTGGGCCAATGAGGGCTTACCGTCAGTCGGACGTATTATGGTGATATCGCCCAATAACGTAGAAAAAGTACAGACTTGTTTTTCCTGGCCTGTGACTGTCCTGTGGAGCCTAGCTATTTTTCTCCTCGTTCCTTTTATTTATTTATCAGTTGTCTCACTTTTTGACATTTTCAGTTCTGGTATTTTGATTTAATTATTTGTTGAATACATAGGTGGCATGTTTTTGAACGCGCTAACGCCAAAGTTTTATGTTGCTCTGACGGGTACCAGCTCTTTTCTCTCAGGGCTTATATTGGTCCGTCATGCTAATTCAATTTAACACCTCATTAGATCTTTGAATGGTGGTATTTCAAGAAATATGGGACCTCTTTTATTGAACAAATATCTCTTACACACATATACCCTTTATTGGGTGGTAGTGACGAGGAAAATGATTGTGATAGTGTCGATTCCGGCCGTGCTCATAATGGAATCCAAGGTTTTTTCTGCTCATTATGTTATGCCTTTCTATTAGACTGTAAAGTGTCCCGAAATCCCTATAGTCTTTTTCGTGGGGCCGAGTATCAGCGAGCAGCAAAAGAATTCGGCCATGATCCACTAACCTATTATGATATGAATTTATCAGCCCAGGATCATCAAACATTCTTCATATGTGAAGCCGATGCTGGTAAACCCGAGTATGAATGTAAGGTTTCAGCGTTTACTTCAAATAACCACTTAGTGATGCAAATGGCATGGCGGGAGAGAAATCCTGAAGAACGAATCAAAAAAGCAAGAGAAGCTTTGGCGAAAAATCCTGACTGTGTTACCGCTATGATACTTCTTGCCGAGGAAGAGTTCTCATCTGTGGTTGAAGTAAGGTTTTTTTCTTATAAAGGCAGCTCTATGAAAACACTACCCACGAGCATACTTATCTTAGGGCGTTATTGCTAACAGTTATAGGGGTGGCGTTAGGATCATAAGATATCTTGAGGACGTTAGAAGTGGCAACCTATAATTTTCAACACCGGCTTCTTGTCACGAACCCTTTTCTCTAATCAAGAATGTTTATATTACAGGTGGAGAAGATGTTTAAACAGGCGTACAAGATAACTGAGTCATCCCTGCGAAAGTCCCAACAATCACACTCTCACAATCCGACACAAGATGCAATCTACTTACGCGATATTCATGCCTTCATCTTCATCCGACGGCGACTTGCAATGTGCGCCCGAAAGCTGGGAAAATTGAAGGAGGCTATAAAAATTATGCGTGAGGTGTGTTCTTCTATTTCCTCCTTCATCATTGTGCTTAATTTCGCCTGACACCGCAGTTGCCTTAGCCCTTTCCTTCGCTGTTTCGTAACCGGATAGCGGTGCTTTTCAGTATCGTTGTTTCATGCGACCGAATTACGAAGAAGAGAAATTGTTACTAAGGCAGCGTTTTTAATCTCAAACAGAAATGGAAATTAGTCAGTTTCGATTTTGTCTTTCGTGTTCTTATTTTGCTTCATGATTTTGATTTTGTGCTTAGAGTTTATCTTTAATTATGTTAACGTTACTGTGACGTTCGCATTCTCTCAGGCAGTACAGAGGTCGTCGTATTTGCATTACAGCTAATAGAATCTAGGAAGAATCTTTTGAAAATGGGTTCACATTAGTCCTGCACGTGTTAGTAAATGAGGTAAAGATGACTTATTTGAGCATAGGTAAATAACGACATTGCTAAATATTTCAAATTTTTCTTAATTCCATTTATCGTTAGTGATAAAATGACCTTATAAAATCAGTAATTTCTCCCAAAATTGATGTCTTTATAATCATTTAGTGTGTGCTTCTCACACTCCTTTGTCGTGGCTTGTAGCTCATACGGGAGTATCCCAATTTGAATCTCTTCAACATTCATGAGAATCTCATCGAATGCTACTTGGAGGCACAGCAGTACGCAGATGCGCAAGCATTTCTTACCAAGTATGATGGTAAGTGGAGTCCTGGCTTTTGAATGTCCACTTTCTGGTGTTCAAGAGTGATTTTGTTTTCCCATTTTTCATTTTGCACCTATCAGACATCCATTATCCCAAATCTGCAACCATCTGCTACACAGCGGCTCTTCTTAAATCCCGACAAGTAGCCGAAAAGTACGTTTTTATCCAAAAATTTGTTTAATTTGAACCTGCTTTCGGTCTAGGGCCTATTATCGTACTTTCTTTTGTGTTCAGATTCTCGCCGGATATTGCATCCAAACGCGGTTTAAGCAGTGCTGAACTCAGTGCTGTTGAGGCAATTCATCGGGCTGTTGAGTTCAACCCACATGTTCCGCGGGTGTGTTTCATGATACTCTTATTTTGCTGTTCATTTTCTTTGGGCTCTAATATTGCTACTCTTCTGATGGGACGATTTTATTTTGTTTGAGTGATTATCCGGTATGTGGTCAATTGCTTGTCGTCTAAGATAGCCCACATGACATCTTAATTGCTACCCGTAAAATGGTTCTTTGTCGATGCATCAGTGTTGTCGCCTGATCATGCTAAAATATTTTCATGTAAAACGTGTACAAACTGCTGGTATTTTCTCATTCACCCCTAAGGCGTTATTTATTTTCTTGATCTGTGTTTTACTGAAACCGTGCATACGTGCCCTAAAAGCGACGTCGTTCTTTCTGTCCTTGTTTAAGCCTGGACTTCGCAGCCGTGGGCAATGCCGTTTCAAATCTGATATTGTGAAATGAGATATTCATGATTGGGAAAGATTGTTCTAAGGTATCAAATGGGTGAAGGGGGGAGGGAAGAAAGAGTTTCAGGTTTGTGGATGTGGAAGCCATAAAATGTGTGGCTTCTAGCTCTACCATGCGATCCCATCAAAATGTGCTACCTTGGTAGAACACGTCCCTAGTACCACCTGTCGCAAGTGTATGCTTGAAGCGCTTTTTCAATTTTCACTTTTAAATCCTACATTGGGCCCTTTGGGGGGGTAATGTTAACTCTCTGTAAGACGGAAAGTAGATTGTGGAATAAATGCTAAAACATTCACCGATGATTATTCAACTATTATATTTGAACCGCTGGGAACTGATTCAAGTTTTATCTCCATGCTTGATTTCAAATTCCTGAGAATGAACCGTATCCCTTTTTTTCAAGTAAGCTCTATTC